GTGGAACACAGGCAACAGGAGAGGAGGAGGAGGGGAGGAGAGGGGAGGAGGAAGGAAGGAGGACGGGGCGACTACAGTGCTCTATTCAAAACGAGTACCCGACACAGGATGGTTGGGAAATACCAAACAAATAATCCAAAATTGCGAAAAGTAGTCAAAGAATCACCCCCAGCCTATTTTTCACTATTTTCGAATTCTCCTCCTGTAGAGGGACAGGCCCGACTCAAGGGTAGCAGCCCATCTTACTCTGCTGCAGGGCCAGCCAGCAAGCCAACACAGCCTGTGCCAGCCAAAAACACAACTTGCAAGCTCTTCTCGCACCTCTCTAGAGCAGCCTGCATAGCTCATATGTTATCGTTTAGCACGTTGTTTGTGCCTCGTCACAGCTTGCCTGGATAAACTAAGGAGGATTGGGGAGTTCACCTTAGAGTATATTATATCCCACAAGCCTCGTCAAAAACAAACATAAGACTTCTGAAGTCGGTGATTGCGAGGTCAGCGCTACTCCAATGCTGCCAGATGCCTGTTGACTCGGACGCGGTGTTGTCCAAAAACCGACCCCACCCTCTCAGCATTGAAGAACGCGCTTTCTGACAAGTGTCTGAAAGCATCGTGCTCCAGGATTTCAACTTCCATTTCTGGATATGTTTGACGAGGCTTGTATGGTGCGGGGGAGCGGACCAAGGTACCACCAGGCTTAGCTGATGTCTGTGACCTGGCGGGCGCATACTCTAAGGTCTTCGGGCCCTGCCCTTAGGTCGGGCATGTCCCCCTACAGGCCTACTGCGCCCGCCAGGCCTGATTCGTTTGCCCCTTGCCTGAGTCGGCATACTGCCTTGTACTTGTTTCGCTACGGCGACAACGTGTGTCAAGGAAGGGCGGTGAGGACCCTTGGAGGCCGAAGTTGGGATTCCCTGGGCGGAGGGCAACCAAACCCTGGCGGAAACGACACAGGACGGGCCGCAGAGGCAAGGCCACGAGGGCGCCCTGGAACAGGCGCGCGCCCACACCATGCGCGTTGACTGCAGAACGCGGCAAGCTTGCGCTCCACGCCTGGGCTTATGTTGTTCCCATCGAACTTTAAAACCACATCCGAGAAATGATTTCGAGCACCCGGAAAAGCGTCGAAAGAGTATCGAAACAATGCCGAAACGGAGTCGCACGAGTGTCTCCCAGGACCCGACGCGTGGAAGCCCCCGAGTCTCGTTTTTTTGGCTGGTGCTCGCAATTCTTTCTGGTGACCAGGGCCAAAGCAGGCTGGAACATGAAAAGCCCGGGCAACGGTCAACCAGGGGCCCGCCAGGCCGAGGAGCCCTCCGCCGCAACGCCGCACTCCCAGGGGTGCTGCGGGGGCGGGGGGGGGGGGGGGGGGCGACGGCGCGGGGCACAGCACGAGCCCGCCGCCGGCGCGGAGGCGTCGGGGAGGAGGAGGAGGACCCTGACCTTCCAGGGGGGGCAGAACGAACAGGAGACCCCAACCTTCCAGGAGGAGGGCCCCAATCTTCAGGAGGAGGACCCCAAATTTCCCAGAGGAGGAGGGCCCTGACCCCTAAACTTCCAGGAGGACCCTGCCCTTCCAGGAGGGCAAACAAAAATGCCACCAGGAGCTCGACATCTGAATTCCATTCAAGGTCTTGAGCCGCCGGGATAGGTCTGTAGGTCTCGAGCGCTGTTGATTCGCACTCTAGAAGGTCGGGGGAAGAAGAGGTGGAGGAAGAGGTGGAGGACGACGACAAGGAGGACCCGGCTTTTCTAGGAGGGCAAACAAAAATCGCACCAGTACCTCGACCTCTGAATTCCAGTCAAGGTCTTGAGCAGCCGAGATAGGTATATAGGTCTCGAGCGCTGTTGATTGCAGTAGGGGCCCGACCACAAGAGACTTTTCATAAGAAACCCAATCCTGTCCTGATTCCCCGGGACGTCCATGGATTTTGATGGGAACGTCACGGTCTCCACAGCCAACCCATCGAAGCCCAAGAAACCTAGGGCACCCTGGAGGCGAGCAGGGAGATTCTTGGCATGGGCCTCCACTGTGGCACTCCGAAAGTCGGGGGAGGAAGATGTGGAGGACGACGACAAGGAGAGCACGAGCAGCGCAAGGGGGCTGGGCACCGCGCGCTCTCCCTCTCTTTCTCGCTCCACCGCCGCCCGCCCCCCCGGCGAGCTTGCGGCCTCCTTCATGTCCGCGAGCGAGCACCTGTCTCCGGCGGGCTCGGCGGAGGAGCGGATCAGAAGGGCAGGGAGACTGCAGGGTCCCTCCTCTGTCCAACTCCTGGAGGGAGGCCTCATCACATTACCATCGTCGTCGTCGACGTAGTAGAACGCTCAAGTTTATCCTCTTCATCTTGGAAAAAGGAAGCATCGCAACAGTAGATCGTCATCCTCATAATGAGCATCATCATCACCCATCATCACCACCACCACCACCACCACCATCATCATCATCATCATCATCATCATCATCATCATCATCATCATCATCATCATCATCATCATCATCATCATCATCATCATCATCATCATCATCATCATCATCATCATCATCATCATCATCATCATCATCATCATCATCATCATCATCATCATCATCATCATCATCATCATCATCATCATCATCATCATCATCATCATCATCATCATCATCATCATCATCATCGTCGTCGTCGTCATCATCATCATCATCATCATAATCATCATCATCATCATCATCATCATCATCATCATCACCACCACCACCACCACCACCACCATCATCATCATCATCATCATCATCATCATCATCAGCAGCAGCAGCATCATCATCATCACCACCATCATCATCATCATCATCATCATCATAATCATAATCATGAGCATCATCATCAACATCATCATCATCAGCATCAGCATCATCATTCTCATCATCGCCATCATAATCGTAATCATAATCGGCATCATCATCAGCATCATCATCAGCATCATCATCAGCATCATCATCCTCATCATCATCGTCGCCATGATCATGATCATGATCACCATCACCAGCAGCAGCAGCAGCATCATCACCACCATCAGCATCATCACCACCAACAGCAGCAGCAGTAGCAGCAGCATAAGCAACAGCAGCAACATCACATCACCATCGTCGTCGTCACCATTATCATCAGCATCACCATCAGCATCATCAAAATCATCAACATCATCATCATCATCAGCAGCATCATCATCATCAGCATCATCATCAGCAGCATCGTCAGCATCATCATCATCATCATCATCATCATCATCATCAGCGTCAGCATCAGCATCAGCATCAACATCATCATCAGCATCGTCACCGACATCATGACCATCATCATCAGCATCACCGTCATAACCATCATCATCAGCAGCAGCATCATCATCACCATCGTCGTCATCGCCATCATCAGCATCATCATCAGCATCATCATCAGCAGCATCATCATCGTGATCCTCATCGTCAGCATCAGCATCATCAACATGATCAGCATCATCAGCATCATCAGCATCATCCTCATCATCATAATCCTCCTCCTACTATCGTCATTATCCTCCTCGTCGTCGTCCACACCGGCATCATCATCATGACCATCACCATCGCACCTGGAAGTCATGCTTCTCATACCACCCGAAATCTGACAGCCGATCTGAATCCTGCTCGAGGCGGGCGCAGAGACAGCTTCTGATCCGGGCAAACCCGAGTTTGCTCGAACCCTGATGGAACGGCAAGCCCCGTCACCTGTGCGAATGGGGTGGAACGGGCGGGGGAGGTATGAACCTAATCTGGCCACCCGCTGGGCTACTCCCATTTGAAAATGTTTCTGGGTCAGGTCCCCTGCCTTTCCATCGAGTTACACGCAGCAACCTGAGGACTTGATTTTCTGATCGTCGGTGCAACTTTGGAGGTGTCGGCGCGTCGCCCATGGCGGCCAGTTGATGCCAAACACGCATCGCAGACTGAAGAAGAAAGTGGCGCGCATCCCCAGCGCCATGCGACCCAATCCTCCAGATCCTGCCCCCCGGGCATACTCAAACTCTCATGTGGGATCTACGGCGCTTCTCTCTCTCTCTCTCTCTTTCTCTCTCTCTCTCTCTGTCTCTCTGTTCTGTTCTGGTCAGCTGCTGGGATGAGGGTAGGCGTTAAATCCTCGTCGACCGTGGTTTATTATCTAAGAACAAAAACCCGAGGTTCATTATCTGCAGATGATACCCTATGGATTATTGTCCTGTGAAGGGAGCGGGCTCAGCCCCCCTGGCCGAATCATTATTTTTCCGGAATAATCAACCTAAGTTTAATATTCTAGCATTACGAACCAAGGTTTATTTCAGACCAGAACGTACCCCCCAACAACGCCCCCAAAAATCAATCATTACAATTCCAGAATAATGAGCCCGGGGACAATAATCCGGGAACATTATGAATCCGGATTCTTTATCTCCTGGAGATAATGAACCGGGGTCAATATTCCGACATGACAAACCTGGTGAGGAACCCGGGGGTTGGGGGAAAAAATAATTATCATCATTCCGGAATGACGAAAGCCGAATTCATTATTCCTGGGACATTGTAAACCCCAGCCAATATTCCCGGAACATTAGGAACCCAGATTGATATGTTTTTGGGGTCGATACCCCCAGAACATTATAAACCAGGGTGTATAATGTTCCGGGGGGAACATAATGAACCCCAATCAATATTCCCAGAATATTGAAACCCAGGTTCATAATGTTCCGGGCGAGAACTTATGAACCCTGGTCAATAATCCCAGAACGTTCTAAATCCAGGTTGATATCTATTTGAGGTCCATCCTGGCTGGGATTACCCCATTCAGGGGGACAGCTCCCGACGCCACTCGGCCGACTACACACTGCGCTGCACACCTTTCGAAAAACAAAAAAAAACGACCAAGGCGCTCAGCGCAACGTGTGTGACCAAGGCGCCCTCCCTCGCTCTCTCTCTCGCTCTCTCTCTCTCTCTCTCTCTTTCTCGGGCGCCACACCTCCCTGACCCCGAGCCGTGGGCGCCTCTCCCAGCCCCGCTGCAGATACCGCTCCCGCTGCGCCTGCAGCGTGGGGTACCTGCGGGCGCGAAAGGGGCCCGCCCGCCCCGCGCGTGGGGCACCGTGCGGCAGGCACAAGAGGACGGGGGAGGAGGAGCAGAGGGGGAGGAAGGGGGCAAAAAGGAAGGACGGGGAGGAGAACAGGGGGGGGGAGGAGGAGGAGGAGGAGGAGGAGGAGGAGGAGGGGGAGGAGGAGGAGGAGGAGGCGGAGGAGGAGGACAACGACGACGAGGAGGAAGAGGAGGCGGAGAACAGGGAGGAGAAGGAGAAGGTAGAGAGAGAGGCCGAGAGAAGGAAGCTCAGCCATTCCACCACCAGCGCCTGCGGGTGCAAAATTTGCAGAATTGTGGAACGCACGCGTGCGGGATATCCTCCACGGAAGCGCCCCCCAAAGGTGCCCGACCGAGGCTCGCAGTCGCACGAATTCTCCAAGGCTTCCTCCACGAGTCGCTGATGTCCGCTGGCAGGTCCCAATATTCGAATCTGCTTATCACGGCTTCCAAGGATAGTTGGTTCAAGGCTGACGTCACGTCAGCGCTGGCAATGTACACTGGCAAGCGCCAATCCCACTCGACGCCGTGCTGAACGAGCAAGGTAAGCACGACTCAGATCCTTCGGACTTACCGCACGGCGCGCTGCGCCAGAAAGACGACGTATCCCATATACCACTTCGCAAATACCGGATGGAGCGACACACCGTGGACATGATCCACCAGACAGAAGGCGGTCCTGACTTCGGCGATGCAGGCCATGACGAGCCGTCTCCGAGAGTTCCGTTCGCTGTGGGTGCAACCAGCCAATCGCTCGCGAAATCAACGATGGATCTGGTAGACGGCCAGCTGCAGAAAGATCAGGAAGCATCAAGGGAGCCATGTCATCGTGGCCATCAGATGCCTTGCCCGCGTGTAGTCGGGCGCGCGCGGCGAAGGTCACGTGGAGGTCGAATCGTGCGCAGGCTGTGGCAAACCCTCCCGCATCACCCACAGAAGCTTCAGAGCCCGCAAACAAACAGTCCCAAACCTTCACAAGCTTCGCTTCCCAAGGAGGCAGGAGGCAGGAGGCAGGAGGAAGGAGGCAGGAGGGAGGAGGAGGAAGGAGGCAGGAGGAAGGATGAAGGAGGCAGGAAGAAGAGGATCGATTCTTCCTCCCCCTCTTCCTCCTCCTCCTCCTCCCTCCTCCCTCCTCCTCCTCCCTCCTCCTCCCTCCTCCTCCTCCTCCTCCCTCCTCCTCCCTCCTCCTCCCTCCTCCTCCCTCGTCCTCCCTCCTCCTCCCTCCTCCCTCCTCCCTCCTCGTGCCTCCTGCCCCCTGCCCCCCGCGAACGCGTCGGAACGAACGCGACCGCACGAGGCAGTGGCTGGGCACTCGTGAATCGAGAGGAGGGGGCAGCCGCGCTGCGCCAGGTTCTCCACCATCATCTGCGAGGCCAGGGAGGCAGGGAGGGGCCCTCCTCCTCCGCCTCCTCCTCCACCTCCTCCTCCTCCTCCTCCACCTCCTCCTCCTGCTCCTCCCCCTCCTCCTCCTGATCCCATTCCTTTTTTTTCTCTCCCTCCTCTTCTTCCTCCTCCTCCTCTTCGTCTTCCTCCTCCTCTTCTCTCATTCCCCTCCTCATGCTAATCCTCGACCTCCTTTCCCTACTCATTCTCATACTCCTCCTGTTACTCTTCCTCCTCCTCCTGATTTTCAATCCTTCCCCTGCTCATCCTAATCTTCGTCCTCCTCTTCCTCCTCCTCCATTCGTCGTGTCGTCGTCGCCGATGCGTCTTAGATGTGCACTGGTCATCATCCTCATCCTCCTCTTCATCCTCCTCCTCCTGCTTCCCTTCTCCCATACATAGCTCATCCCTGCCGCACCCCGAGGCCAGTCGGTAGGGCGGGCTGGGCGTTTCGTCTGAGGTTTCCTCACCATCTGTGACCCTGAGGCTTGAAACACAGTTTCACGGATGCGTCTCTCGCCTTAGCGCCGCGAACATTCGTTCAAAAGTCGGCACCAGATTCACGGATGGGGGGCGGATCTTTATCAAAATGTGGCTCTCGCCTTAGCGCCGCGAGCATTCGTCTTAAACGTTTGCAACAGTTTCACGGATGGAGGGCGGTTCTTTTTCAAAATATGGTTCTCGCCTTGGCGCTACGCTCAAATTGCTTTGATGATAAGAGATAAACCGTTTCAAGGATTCGCATGGACGAAATCCCAAGAACGGTGTTCTGGTAAGACTTAGGGCTGTCGGAACAGCGGAGTCATGTTGATTCGCCATGTTGAACTGGAACAGCTTGGAGCTGCGAGGACGCAACAGTCACGTGGACTCTCGACGCTGGCGTCCCAAGAGCGGTGTGTTGGGCACGATTAGGGATTGTCAAACGTTTTTTCCAATGGGGCACTTCTCGCAATGAAAGCACATGTTGGAGGGCCCTGAGAAGAGGGAGCTGCAGGGAGGTTGTCTTGCAACATCGCTGATGCGTATTAGATTAACACAGGTAATCCTCCTCATCCCCTTCCTCCTCCAACTCTTCCTCCTCCTTATCCTCCTCCATCCCTCGCTGTTTTAGACGACAGTCCTACCTGTCGCACCACGCGGCCGGTCTACAGGGCGGGCCGGGCGTTTTGCCCGAGACTTCCCCACCACTTATGATCATTGACCGTGAACCTTGTAACAACTTCACGGATTAAGGGCGGGCCGCTTTCAAATGGTCGCACTCGCTTTAGCGCCGCGCGCATGGATCAACAGCTTCACGGATGGAGGGCGGGCCGTTCTCAAAATGTGGTTATCGTTTTGTCGCCGCGCACATTCGTCTCAAAGTTTGAAGAGCTTCACGGCTGGAGGGCGGTTCCTTTTCAAAATGCAGCTCCCGCCTTGGGGAACGTGGAAAGTGGGGAACGTGGAACGCTCTCGCCTTTTCAAAATTCGGTTCTCTTTCAAAATGCAGCGCGAGTCAAAAGCGGCCGCGGACGGAAGGTGATGACAATATGTTGGTGAGTCTTGGAATTACACCGGTCCTCCTCCTCCTCCTCCTCTTTCTCCTCTTCCTCCTCTTCCTCCTCCTCCTCCTCCTCCTCTCTCGTCCTCCTCCTACTCCTCTTCCTCCTGCCCCTCGTCCTCCTCCTACTCCTCCTCCTCCTCCTCCTCCTCCTCCTCCTCCTCCTCCTCCTCCTCCTCCTTTTTCTCCTCCTTTTCCTCCTCCTCCTCCTCCTCCTCTTCCTCCTCCTCCTCTTCCTCATCCTCCTCTTTTTCCTCCTCCTCCTCCCATCCCCACTCCCACTCCTATCCTGATTCCTTATCAGAATATACTCTTACGCTCCCCTGTGGCCAGCCGATACCAGCCCAATGCGGGCCGTCCCATCCTATTTTTAAAAAATCAATACAAAGTCGCCGCTGATCTCTCAACATGGCCTTTTCTTTTTGTCGACGATGCGCGTAGCAGGAATGGGACGCGGCGCACATCGCGCGCGGCCGTCAATCCGGGCCCTCCCATCGTGATTGTAAAGAGTACGAAGTCCCCGTTTTTCCTCTCAACATGGCCTGTCTTGTCATCGACGATGCGACATGCGTAGCAGGAACGAGACGCGGCGCACATCGCGCGCGGACGTCTGGGGCAACCCGAAGCGGGAGTGGCCATCCTTCCTGTCAAAACCGTACAAAAACGGCATGTTTCTTCTCAGTGGGGAGTATGTTGTAGTTGACTCTGCGAAATGCCTGGCAGGAAGGGGGCGCGGTGCACATCGCGCGCGACAAGGCGAAATATCGCTCTCGCTTCGGCGCCGCGCGCATGTTTTCTGAAAGTTGCGCTCCCGTTAAGGCGCGGCGCCCCTGGCGCCTCCCAGGGTCTCCTGGGACATCCTGGAGTTTCCCAGGGCTTCCCCAAGGCCTCGTGGATCCTCCTGGAGCCTCTTGAAGCATCCTGGGGTTTCCTGGGATTCCCCGGTGTTTCCTGGCACTTCCTAGGGTTTCCTGAAGCCTCCTGGGATTACCTGGGGCTTCCTGGGCCCTCCTGAAGCATCCAGGGGCGTTCTGGGGGTCGCTGGGGCTTCTCCTGAGGCCTCCTGGGGCCTCCTGGGGTTTCCTGGGGCCCCCTCGGCTCGTGCTGAAATGCCATCGCAGTCTTTGAGACGCGCCAGGGATTCCCCATCGGTAACCGCCATCGCGGCTGCATCAGCTGTGGCAAACCACCTTGCCGATCTGATTTCGGTCCCCAGTTTCGCCAGCACTGTTTCTTATGTTCTGGGAGGGCGGGTAGGACTGGGCATACCATGCTTGACTCGCTCGAGCTGGCTAGCTTGACTCTTATCCTTATTCCTTATTAGAATATACTCCTACTCCCCCCTCAGGCCGGCCGATAGGGGCCGCATCCGGGTGGTCCCATCCTAACCTGTAAAAAACAATACCAAATCAATATTTTTCTTATTTTTTCCTCTCGACATGGACGTCCTGTCGTCCACGGCGATAATCCATTGCAAAAAATACCACAAAGAGCACACGCGCGCGTTCATGTCAGAATCCTACCGAACACCGTGTGTTTGCAAGCATTTCAACATAAAAACATCAAAAACCCAATGTTTTTTCACAAAAATTCTACAATTTTCCTGCCCGGCTCTCTTGCTGAAATCATAGGAAAACCATAGGAATCTTAAGAATTCGGTCAAATCCAGCGATTTCACGTCATCGCGCGGTGCACTCGCGATGCTCTGTCATGCACCCAGGCCGCGAATCCTGTGCAAAAAATACCACGCGGGCGACATGCGCGCGCGTCGCCGCGAGCGCATGCTCAAATCCTTCTAGAGTCGTCGCCGTCATTGGCACCGTCGCATGGACGTCCTGTCGTCCACGTCGCAAAATGCATAGCAGGAATGGGACGCGGCGCACACCCCGCGCCCGCCCATCCAATCCGTCCCATTCTAATCTGCAAAAGACAATACACAGTTTTTGTTTTTCTTGTCAACATGGTCGTGCTGTCGTCACGTCGCAAAATGCGTGGCAGGAATGGGACGCGGCGCACACCCCGCGCGAAGGGGTGACATGTCGCTCTCGCCTCGGCGCCGCGCACCAACGTTTTTCCTCTCAGCATGGACGTCCTGTCGTCCACGTCGCAAAATGCTTGGCAGGAATGGGATGCGGCGCACACCCCGCGCCCGCCCATCCAAACCCCCCCTTTATAAAAAAACAGTACAAGTTGGGGCCTTCAGGCTTCCTGCGGTGTACCGGGCCATTCTCGACTCGTCTGGCAATGCGTGCGCGGCATTCAACACGCGCTCGCCAGTTCCCGTCGGCAACCGCCATCGCGGCCGCATCAGCTGTACCAAACCGGCTGGCCGGTGTGACTTCGGCCCCCAGTTGTGCCAGCTTTGCTTCTTATGTTGTGGGAGGGCGGGTGGGACTGGGCATGCCATGCTTGACTCGCTCGAGCTGGCTAGCTTGACTCCTACTCCTACTCCTACTCCTACTCCTACGCCTGCTCCTACTCCTACTCCCACCACTCCCTCCTCATCCTGTTTGCTCGTGTTCCTCCTCCTAATCCTTCTCCTCCTCCTCCTCTTTCCCCTCCCCCTCCTCCTTCTCTTCCTCCTCCTCCTTCTCCTCCTTCTCCTCCTCCTGATAGTACGACTACGACTGCGACTACGACTACGACTACGACTACGAATACTGCTATGAATGCTGCCACTACTACTACTACTACTACTCCTACTACTACTACTACTAATACTACTACTACTACTACTACTACTACTACTACTACTACTACTACTACTACCACTACCACTACTACTACTACTACTACTACCACCACTACTACGACTACTACTACTACTACTACTACTACTACTACTACTACTACTAACACTACTACTACTCTACTACTACTACTACTACTACTACTACTACTACTACTACTACTACCTATAACTACTACTACACACTACCACTACCACTACCACTACCACTACTACCACTACTACTACTACTACTACTACTACTACTACTACTACTACTACTACTACTACTACTACTACTACTACTACGACTACTACGATACTACGACTACTACGATTACTATACTACTAACTACTACTACTACTCCTACTACTACTACTACTACTACGACTACTACTACTACTACTACTACGACTACTACTACTTACTACTACTACTACGACTACTACTAATAATACTACTACTACTACTACTACTACTACTACTACTACTACTACTGCTAGTACTGCTACTATTCCTCAAACTACTGCTGCTACTGCTACTGCGACTGCGACTTCCACTGCTACTACTACTGCTACTGCTACTGCTACTGCTACTATTACTACTACCACCACCACTATTACTACTACTGCGACGACTACGACTACGACTACGACTACGACTACGACTGCTACCACTACCACTACCACTACTACTACTACTACTACTACTAC